TCTTTGAGGTATGCCTGGTTTGGGATTCAGAGGATGAGCTTGTTGGTCCCACTCATTGTAAAATGGTTTCCTTGGGTTGTGCATCCATTGGCGTTGCAGCTTTGCTGCCTCTTATTGAGCTGATTGGTTTGAATCTAGTAGAACAAACTCCAGAGCTGAGGATCTGAGAGAAAATCTGTATTTTGAACTTTCCGGATTCAGTCCATCTGAATGAGCTCTGGAGCTCTGTACAGTAAGTTGCTGTTACTTTGCAATTCCTTTTTTTGTCTGATTTTCTCATGTTTTTTGTTGAGGACAGCTGCCATAGCAGGGAGAGGAGCCCTTTCAGCCTTTGCTTTGAGGCGTGCAGAGGAGGCTGATAACCTTGAAGACCTATGGCTGGAGCAGCCAGCTCATGAGCACGTTTTACCACCAACGTTATAAACGCTGTCACCTGGACCAATATCATCAATGACCAAAGATATGTTTGCCACAGTATCCACCGGTTTTTGTATTATTTCTTTGTTGCTGTGCATTCAGGTTTCAAACCATCCATGTTTTGTTTTTTTCATTTCATCCTTATAGGTGTTAATGGTTTCAACGATTTAGGAGAAAGTTTTTTTTTTTTTTTAAATAGAAGCGACCCACCGTCTCAGACACTCTACGCCTATGAACTCAGGTGTGCAGATGAAGTAGCAACAGCAAAATTTACTCTGACACACACAAGATATAGCACACAACAAAGCTAAGTAGTTTTGTTGACTTAAGTTAAGTAGTTCCGTTTCACAAAGTGTTTAAAGCTGCGACCGTTTCACAACGTGGCCAACGGCCGATTCTGTCGTTTAGGTATGAGTAGGCCTACATGTTGCACTGAACGGTGGCATTGGGCGTAAATCATCTGGAGTGAAATTGACCAATACAAACATTGTTCCTTGGAATACCAGGCTATTTAAATGTAAATGCTGCCTGACACATATGCTACAACGTTGTATGCAAAGCGCCTTACAGGAGGACTGAGCACTATCTTTCTACCAACATAAGTTTCATGTCACATTTATTTTTTATCTCATCTCGTTTCCCCTGTCATTCGCCCTCATGTCTGCTCTGAAAAATGCGGCAGCAGTGTGACAAATTACCTTTAAATTTCATCCCTGTCAGAGTTACAGCTCTTTCAGACAGATGGATAGAGGACGATCGGGGGCTGCCGAGCCTGCAGGCGCTTGTCAGAAAGCAAACAGCGTTGTGAATTACGACCGGACGGTTTGTCTCTCTGAGTGAAGGATTATCTTCATACGATGACACACTCATAAACAGTGCTTAGGTGCTGCAATCGGTCCCACAGATGCAGTGCCTCCTCAAATGAGGATACTGGGTGAGAGGAGGATTTACGCTGCTAATAATAGAGTAAACTAAATACATATCCAGAGAAGGAATTTTGCATGTGGACTATTTATAATTACAGAACCCTGTGATGCATCTCTCGTGGGTTAAAGCCAAACCAGTCTTGGACTACCGGCACGCTGCTGACCAGGCTGCAAAGATCGAGCTGTGAAGCTGTCAGCAAAGGAATCGCAGACTTCATGACAGCACTCAAATCAAAGCTAAAAAGGTGTTGCTTTTCATGACCAGTTCATAACTTCATGGTCAGTGCTACTGCTGGCAGAGAATAGGCCTTAATAAATACAGAGTTGCTGTGATGTTGTGTTCAAATCAAATGAAACTGGATAATTTACACATGCATGGTATGTTTTTAAGGTCTAACAATGTAAAAATACTATGAACTATCAGGTTGATGCGTAGTGCAATATGTTTTCCCTGTTTGTAGGTAGAAAAAGAGGGTCTCAGCATTTCAAAACTACACCCAAACTGTGATATAATGCAGTCATATTCACAACGTTGTTCTCATTGACACATTTTCCGTCTCTTTTGTCAGACAACAGAACAAGTTTGAAATTTGGTCACAGCGTGTTACCAAGCTGCTGCGCTGTGAATCCAATTATTTTGTATAATCACAGCATCATCAGACACACAGAATAAACTGACAGTGATCACTTCAAATAAGCGATCATGGAGAACGTGAGTGTAAGGTTTTCATTTTAAGTACATTAAAGGTTGACTAAACGGCTGCTGAAGAACAGAAGCCCGACGTGTAAAACATTTCCTGCGGAGGCTGGAACTGCGACAGAGCTAAAATGCATCCGGATGAACATGTATGTGTCAGCAGGCTGAATCTGAAAATGTGTCGGATCTCTTTACACACTAAAACACGTACAAACAACACTTTCCGAGACAGCCAACAGCCTGGAGCCTCTAGCAGCAGAGGTGAGCAGCTGGCTACAGAGGTCTGGTTAGCTCGCTTCTTCCTAAATCCACACCTCCAGATATTTCTACTTCTTTAAACTTGTAGTCTTTAGACTCAAGTGACATCATTTGATGCATATCACACAGCTCACACTGGAGACACTAAAGGCTTCACTTTACACATATTCACATATGCAGTGTTGCTCCCTGATGGGCCGTTTTTTCCTGAGGTCATCATATTTTTTTTTAACGCCAGCAGTGAAACGTGGCGCTGAATGTTTATATTCTGCGCAGAGCTCTGAACGTTTGGCGAATTTTTGTCTGATCGTCGAGAGTTGAAAAACATTTTGAACTTTGGGTGAAACGCTGCGCTCGTCACTGTCACCTTCAACTCAACCGTCGAATACCTGGAAACACATTTTGATGTTTAGAATCGGTGGGGTTCCCCTTTGACCAAGTGAGAGCAAAAACAACGAAACATAAAGACGCTTTAGTTGCTACAGGCTGATATTGAAGGAAAAATAAAGTAAACACATTGTCATTGAACATTTTCCTACTTTGCAGGTATTTTATTTTATAATATTAATACATTGATAAAAATGTAATTCCAGGGACATGTCTCTCTTAGTTGTTCTAGGAAACACGGATGCTTAGTATGGACAGAAGGCCAAAACCAAGAAAACAGATTTATTTTTTTAAGACACGAGATGTTGACCTTGATGAACAAAAATCCCGCGCACAGTAATTGTTGCCTTACAAACTGCTGACCTGAATACCTTAACTATAACTTGCTGTCTCAATTTATAAACCGACTTCTGTGACAGCATCTGCTGTCCCCATTAATTCCTGTAATTGTGTCACAGCTGCAGGTTCAAATCAAGGCACCACATTGCCAATAAATATACAGTATACAGCTAGATGTGAAAGTATTGTGCAGTAACTTTCAAGGTCTCCATCCAGAACAGTTTCCCCTTTTACCATCTATTTCAGTCACAAGGTCAGTTTCAAAAATAGCTCGCAGCTATGAATTCACTTTCAGACAACACGGCTGCTGACATCTGAGTGGCGGCACCGTTTTTGAAGAAAAGCCAACCACTGTTATCTTCTATTTCCTTGTTCTTCCTTTTTTTTTTACATTACACACTGATACTCTGGATAGGCCTTGATTCTTCTCGACTAGCAAATTTACTTTTGTCAAAATAATTGTATTGTTTCTTTGTGTGTCTGTGTGTAGTTTAAGACCCCTTCCAATGGGTTGCGTTGTTTTAAATAGTAAGGTTTTCGCTAAAATGCATGTTTGTGAAGTAGAAGTTGTTTTTTATATGCATTACACCTGACATCGTCACTCTCGGGTTCCTGGTAGGTGACCGGTGAGCTCACGCAGCTTGTGACCGTCACATACCATCAGAAGTCATCACTGTCAGAATGTGTGTACATCGCTATGAGATATGCAATATGCATTTTGACCACATTTAACAGCAGGACAAAGAGCATCTGACATGACGTTACCCGCTGCCAGCCGTCAATCAAACTCTCAGGCGTCCTGCTGACCTCTGAACTTGATCTGTGATTGGCCGCAGTGCGGTGAGAGGATGTTTTGGAAGGGTGACTATTTATTTCTCAACCACCATGAACCTGTCTCCTCACAGTGATATCACTGCATTTCTGTGGCCACATGCCCAGCGTGACGAGACGCTGCAGAGGACTGTCTATGTTTGAGAAGATGAATCACTCGGCAGTTAAGAGAAAACAAAAAACGGTTTACTTAAAAAGGACATTAACCTTAATCTGCGTGCTATCCTTCTACAACTGGATCGCTTTACTTCGCTAATATTACAGGAATATTTGTATCCTTTCTTTCAGAATTGATGCACCTTGCTCAGAGTTTACTAAAAGTTTAAAGAAAAAGAACATTATATTGTAGCTCTATACATTGGGGAGGCAGGAGCTTCTACCAAAGTTGTTTAGGAAATGCAACATGCGCCACATTTGACTCTTGTCTTTTGTTATTAAATGCCTCAGTTAGGTGTGCAGCTTCTCTCTTCTGGTTTACAATGTTCAAGCCTAAGCCAACAAGGAGTGATTTTTGGTCAGTTTTCTCCTCTACTCAGTGTCTCTGTGATATATTTTGGTGGCATCATTCTCACCTGGACTGGATCAAATGAACAAACGGAGTAAACATTGTGCTTTTTTTAAAAGTACTCTGCACATTATTCTAATTACAGTAAAAATCTCCAGTTGAGACAGTTTCTTGTAGTTCTAGTGATGAACATCATGATGATTTTTAGGGCAAACAGGAGCAGTCAGACAATCTGAAACAAATTCTCACTTTAACAAAACTATCCAAACTGTCCGATGGTATTGAACAGTTGCCTGTGTGGATTAGTGTTGCAGGTTTAAGTGAAAGGTGAACCAGATGAAGCTTTGCAAAAATATCTTGTTTCAGTGATACTTTAAAAGTTTACTTTAATTTCCACTTCCAAATAAGTGACTTAGAGATTTTTTTTTAAACACGTCTGCTTGCTCATGTTGCTCATCCCATTGTCTGACAGCCCACAAATGTGAGGCAGAGTGACCCCTCTTACCTCACCTCTGTCTCTGCATGGTGACACAGAGAAGCCAGCAGCAGCCCAAACTGGGCAGAGATGGTGGTGGGAGGGACTGGGTACAGAGATGGAGATGGGGGTTGGTGATGTTGGTCACACTGAGCGTGCCAAATGAGCACATGAAGACAGTAATGTGATCTGAGTTGAGTGACAGGACCCCTATTTTTCTTTTTTTTTGTACAGAGGTTTGACAGAGCTATATAAGAGGCCGAGGCTCCGGCTGCAGGCAGAAGAGACAGACAGAGAGAGACACTGACCATCACAGCAGAAGACCAGTGGACTTAACTCTTCATACAGTTACTCACAGCGCTATTAAACTACTGAGAAGAATGGGACTGCACAGCGTCGAGGAACTGGTAAGATCAATTGTGTAAATAATAGCAACTATGAGAGGAACCGGGAAGCAGATTGGTATCAAAAAGAAGCTGTAGAATTTCTACTCCAGGAAATGTGCAATTATTTAAAATAAGGGGTAATACGTATGAAAACTAGAAGAGTTTTTTTTAATACGAAAAGATTATTTTTCTCTGGTTACAATTCTTAAAGGATTCTAAAAAAAAATTCAACCAAGGAAATATTTTTTAAGAAAAGCAGCTCTTTACATTCTATGACATTTTGTTGAATAGTGACGCTCTGCTGGAAACTGATTCTCCTCAGAGTAAGTCGACGACTCATCTTTAAGACAGATTTAGTTTTTTCGTCGTTTTGCCATTTACATGTAAAGTTTATATCATTTCCCGTGATTTTCTTGATTTGTCTTTCTATCACTTAACATGTGACATCATGTTAAGTGATGAATATAATATGAGGTAAAACAAGAAGAACACATCCTACTTGTGTAAGCAAAGGACAGAAAAGAAAACAAGCACATCATTTCAGCACTGGCGTTTAAAATGATGTGACATCAGAACACTTGAAAACGAAAACCATCCAATCAGGACCAACAATACTTAAAAGCGACAGAGAATTACCTCAATTATCTCTTCTTATCTAAACTCAGGTTTCCTCAAATCACCTCATTTCATTGCGTAATTACCTCTTACTTTGGAAGCTTAGGGGATGGGCTGCTTAATTACAACTTAACTTAGATAAAGGTAAGAATCTCATTAAAGTCCTTTACCCATCACTGTTGTTACTGCACATTTTATCTTAATATTTCTTATTTTCTTCATATCTTAACTGAGGGGTCATGACTAAGCGTTAAATAGAAAGAGTCACAGACCATAAGCAGTTTGAATGATTACACGAGCACTTCAATAACTGGACATACAAACAGTTGAGGTTAGATTAAGACATTAGTGTGGGAACCTTTTTTCTGTCATGACTCAGGCTCGGAGTGGACAACATCTCCATCTCTTCTCTCCCTCAGGTGTCCGGTAAGAGGTCAGAGGGCAAAGAGGCCGACGACTTCCAAGGGGGCGTGTACGAGGCGGCTGTCAATCAAGAGAAGCAGGATGACCGCAGGTCCCACAGGGAGCAGGTGGACGGAGGTCTGTCAGAGGAGAGTGACAGTGGCAACGAACAGGAGCAAGTTAGTGTTGCAGCTCTCCATGTAAGAACACACACACAAAAAACACGGACATATTGTACCTTTTATGAAGTTGTTTTGATACCTGGGAACTACTGTAAGGGGTCACACAAATAAAAAGTCTAAAAACAAGATTTGAAATGACAATTTTACCAAGTAAGTTAAATTAAAGAAGTATTATCAGCTAAATGTACTCACAGTGGAAAATATAAGGACACATACTGTTATACTATTGGATCCATAGTATTGAAACATTAGCAAATAAGAAGTAGTGCTGCTTTATATTACAAAGTTCAATATTTTCCGCTGTAAAGGGAGGAAGAGTTGTAGCTTTAACATTAAGTGAAGATTCTCAAGTAAAGTACTTAAAACATAAATGTACTTAGTTGCATTTCACCACTTGTAGTTAGTCAGTTGCATTGCATGGAATGCCCGGCCCACATGGACTAATAGGCTGACGTTAGCCTGTGGTTACCTCTTCTGAGTTTGTCTCTTGGTCCATGCTGCCACCTGAAGGCGTTGGCAGTATAACACATCTTGATAGCAGTTTACTCAGGAGTACATCGGTTATAAACCTCATCATTTTGGTCTTTACATTAGTTTTTGCGTTGAGCGTTTATGAGACTTTAAAAAAATTAGGTGTAATTTGCAGTATGTAAATCCAAACACCATGTTCATTGCAAATCTATATAATTAATCTTCTATGATCCTGTTTCCACACATATTTTGCCCACAGGGTAAAGAGTCTGTGTGAATGCTGCATTTGACAGATCTTTAGTGATCATTCAGTCCGAAGATACAGCTGTATGAACGGATCATAATAGAGTAATGCAAATAAAACGAAGAGTAGTAATTTAAGTACAATTGTGAGGCTTTCTTCCGATTTCTGATGGGAAATATTGTATGCCATTAATCTGATTTGCAGAATATAATTTTACCTGCAAAGCAAATGATCTCTAAAAACTAACAGAATCATTAACTGGACAGGCTGCGGAATTAAATATTGTTTACAAGTTAACATTCAAGGTATCATAAATTCACACTCTGATATCTCTACTCGTGTGTACCTTTACTTTTGTTATTTAAACCCATTTTACTGCAGAGTACTTGGAAAGCTTTTAAAGCAGGGCTTGAAGTGTTCTGTGCCCTTTCACTTGATTGTTATTCAGTGAACAAATAAAATCTGTTTTTTGAAATAAAAGTTCCTTCTTTCTTTGTCGTCGTGTGCTGAAAACCTCTGTGTTGTCTCTGCCCCTCAGACGGATAAATGCGGCAGGCTGAGGTTGGAGACAGTTGATGACCTGTTCAACATCCTGCAGCTGAGGAAGAGGAGGAGGGAGAGGAAGGCTCCCATCCACAAGAAACAGCAGCCAGAGCCTGAGAGCGTGGTAAGATTATCTTCTTCATTATAATGATCAGTGTCTTACTTTCCCGGCTCAACAAACCAACATTTTACTTTGCTTTCCATAAGAGGAACATACTTATCTATCATAATAGTATTACTTTGTTTAGTCTTTCCTGAATTTCTTTCTTTTATCCCACAACTGATACAGTTTTATTCTGTAACTCTGAGGATGACATCGGATGAATGAGGAGAAAGTTAGAGCTTAGGTGTTCGGAACTGGCAAAATCATAAATTTAACAGCTACATGTAAATGTAGTACAGATATTCTTTGTAGGGCTTGTAGTGCATTTGTTTTCATAAAAAAAACACAAAATATATGTATTTAAATGAAAACATCTAGTAATTTAATCATGTATCGGAAGCTTCACACGACCAGAGAGCAAACTCTCTGTGTGAACGATCCCTGAGGTTTTAACTGACCCAGGTACACTGTCCCTTTACCTTCAGTTCATATGATTTATACATATATGATTATGATTGTTTTTGATTTTCTAGCCAGAGACTGTGGATGATGAGATGTTTCTGACAGCAGCCATGGAGAACAAACTGCCTGTGGTGGAGAAGTACCTGACTGATGGAGGAAACCCCAATGCAGCCGACCACGTGAGTGTCACACATTAATGTCTGCAACTTGTCCGAATCTCATTAAAACATGCTAATCAACATGCAAAACAAATGTTCACATGTTATCGTACTTTCATGATAAAAATACTTGAGGCAGCTGAGGCTAATGATGATAACAGCAGGCTGTAAAATACTACTATTATTAGATGCATGAAGCTCTTTTAGATGGAGTATAATTAATTAAATACACTTTATTTTGTACACGTTTTACACGTTTTGGTATCTCATCAGTATCAGTAAACCAACTGTCTTTAATTAATTTAATGTCCAGTTCCAGAGAACTGCTCTGCACAAAGCCTCGTTCAAAGGACACGTGGAGGTCATGAAAAGACTCCTGGAGGCTGGCGCTGCCATCGAGAAAAAAGACAAGGTAAGAGATTTAAAACGCTCAAATGCTGCACACACACACATACACACACACACACACACACACCCAGATACAGCGTCAGTCTAACAGTTCTGTATGTGTATGTGTGTCAGCTGGACGCCACAGCAATCCACTGGGCCTGCAGAGGAGGCAGCCTGCCGGCCCTGCAGCTCCTCCTCGACCAGGGAGCCGAGTTCACCTGCAGAGACAAGGTTGGTACAAACACACCGGGTTGGCGATCTGCGCAGGTTACGGAAACCCCTTACTTTGGCACCATCTCCTGGTGGAAATAAAACAGACAACTGTTTCTTTGAGGATTTCTGTACATATCTCCAGTTGTGACCACAAATTGTACATCTATGGGCCTTTAATCTTTTAGTGACATTTTGAGTATTTTCCTCGCATTAATAGATACAACTGAAACTCTTTCCTCTCCTCAGTTGCACAGCACTCCTCTTCATGTCGCTGTGCGGACAGGACACTGCGAGTGTGCTGAGCATCTCATTCACTGTGGAGCGGACGTCAACGCCAAAGACAGAGTAAGGACACAACGCAGAGTTCATCAGTTGTCTCACAGCTACATTAAATGCTGAAACGATGCTGAATACTCTGTTTTCCTCCCCCACTGAAGGACGGAGACACGCCCATGCACGATGCTGTGAGAATAAACAGATTCAAGATGATAAAGCTGTTGATGATGTATGGGGCCAGTCTCAACACCAAGAATTGTGTAAGTTCAGAAAAACTTGGCACATCTTTCCTTGACATTGACACTGACATTGACACTGACATGAAAAGTACCAGTTGACAACAATGCACCAACGTCTGTAATTTGAAAAACAGGTTTGACAACTGGCTCAAAGCCAACAATGCAGCCTCTATGGGGACAACAATGAGGCTAAAGACCTACCTGTGCTTCACTTATCTACGCGAGTGAATCTTAAGTGTACATGCTTCAGTTTTTACAGTTTTGATTTCAAGTCCTGTGTGTTTGTTTCTCCTGTGCAGGATGGAAAAACTCCACTGGAGACACTGTCTTCGTGGCAGAACGGAGCCAAGAGCCTCCTGTGCAACTTCAGCCAGGAAAAGCCCAACCAGTAGAACCCAACACATTCCACTAAAAGCAGTAATTCAACATGAGACTCCAAAGGATCTGTGTTTTTCCAGCGAGGCTGTGGCAAGTGCTCACGTCACATTCAAACAGTCCCACGTTTTGACTGACAGATGTTTATGCCCTCAGGAAGCAACCGCATTATTAAATCTGAAGTTGGCACAGTAGTGCTGGCAGATATCTTAACTAGGTCATTCAATACTTATCACCCGGTTCAGCATTTTGAAGGTTACCAGCAGAGCTACATTTCTCATGTTACATGTTCATGCATCTTACATTCAGATGCACAGCAGGAACCTGAAGAAGACTTTGATCAACAATGTGAAATCTAATCAGGTTGTTAATAATGTGATAATTAGCAGCGATAGATTAATTGTTCGCCAAATATTGCTGGACAATGTCTCGGCTGACAACATGAAGATGTTTTCTTAATTTTGAATTTAAGCTGAGTTGAAGTCAGCGATACTGCTTCGAGAAGATGACGTATTTATTGATTAATGACAACTGTCAGCAATCAACCTATTGGCTTTGATTGATTTATATCAATATCATACACTTAATAACCAAGTGACTGTCTAGAGTTATACTGTAGTTAGATCTTTTGAAAATTTGTCACGGTTAGACTTTAGACTTTATTTATTTAACCTGGTGAACATTTTCCTCACAGTTCCATTGGATCAACAGTCCGTGGATCGATCCAAGTGTAAAACTGAAGTTATGTATTTGTATAAAATGACTCCAGCTCAGTGTGAAATGACTGAGCCTCACCTTGCTGGCAGATTTTGTGTTATACTTAAACATTCAGACGAGTTTAACCAAGTTATTTGGTCTTATGCATTTTAAGATTGAGAGATGTGACAGGATGAAGAAAGTTTTTGGATTAGGATGAAAAGAACCTCTCCACTTACTCTCTCGAGACACGCGCAAATACCTATACTGGCCTTTTCTCCTGCAGCAACATCATAAGTAAGCTGTAAGTTAAACAAACAAGGGTGCTTGATATTCACACATTTCCACATAAAGTCAAGTCAAGTTATTTTGACTCATCTTAATCTTGGCTGTAATTTTGTTACTTTTTTTCTCCTTTCAAACAACCCTCTTACTCAACCCACAACATTGATTCGGCATTTGTTTGGAGGTTTAGTCTCGACAACCTTCAGACAAAAGTTTATCTTTTTCAGATTTTCTCCTACCAGAGCTAATTTTGAGCATCTGGGGCCCATATACCTTATTGAAGGTCACCTCAGTGATACAAATGCTTCAAATTACCCTAGCTGACATCCCAGCTGCTGGCCCATTTTGTCACACATACACACACACACAGACACACACACACACACAGACACACACAGAGTGCGAGAGGGAAGAAGCTGAAAAGTTCAGTTCTGAAAAGGTTCAGAGGATGTTTGACAAGTGTTTATGTGGATGAAACAGGTCTTGATATATGACTGGAAATAAGATTTATTTTTTATTGTCAAAGATGGATGTGCATTTTGCCTTGTATTTATGGAGTGTTTAAATAAAACAGATTTTGAATTTGAGCTTTCTTTATTGAGAGAGAGAGAGAGAACAGACAGAGAGAGAGAGAACTGACAGAGAGAGAGAGAGAGAGAGAGAACTGACAGAGAGAACACAACCTGCATGAAACACAGACAAAGACAAACATGGCTACCAACACAAGCTTTGCTCTCACTGAGAAAAATGCAAGCTGTTGAGACAGACCTCCACTTACTCACCGAGTGCACCAAGTATTCTGAATAAAGAGAAGAATTCTACGGAGCCCAGAAGGTGTCATGGAGGAATAAGTCATGTGTGCTCTTGATTTAATATTGATTCAGAGTGAGAGAGCATGAGACTGAGCCACTATTATATCGAGAGCACACAAACTATTCAGTCCAGAGCACCAATTAGTTACTAGTACAGGGACACAAATGGTCCGTATTTTGCGTGTCGCTCTGAATTACTTTTCTTTTGGGACGACAAAATAAAAGTTAGGTTTAGTCAACAAAACCACTGAATTAGGTTTTGGAAAAACATCACTGTTGGGCTTAAAATCACTACATACAGTTAGGTTTAGGCAACAAAACCACAACAAGGTGTCTGGTCTCTCCCGCGCACTTTGGTATTAATTAAAAACTACTTCACTTGCTCCGAGTGTTGCATAGTCACATGGATGAATTTAATTGATGTGTCCATCACAAAAAAGGATCCTAATTGACTTTTCATTGGCCTTGTTTTCCTCCTGAGCAACAAAAAAAAAAAAAAGACAATTAATGTCCATGTACACAAAATCAATAGATTTGGCATTTTGTGACTATTTCGCAACCTGCCATGATACTTGGCTGGAAGCTATGGAGTTTCTGTCTAACAGTTTTTCTCAGTTGCTACTGTATACACAGATACAGCCGCTGGCTTTTAACCAGATCCAGTTTTCCAGCTTTAAGATGTCTCATGCCGTCTGGAGATAGAGGCCAGGGAGAGTGAATTTTCTGCCTCCTTACAGTTGTAAAGCCGTAATATTTTGTGCAGATTTAAAGACACTGGAGCATTGTGCAATTTATTCCCTGAAGGTATCGTTAGCAAATGTTTGAATTTCAGTTGAGCATCAAGAGGCGTGGTCGGCAGACCTTGCATTATTCCCCCAGTACTTTTCCATTGTGTGACTATTGACTTCATGATTATTTTTTATCAACAGAAAAACACAATCAGTCTCCATGTGTTTATAACAAATTGTATATTCATCCAATATCGCTGGTTTCACCACAGCAACTCATAGAACCCAGATCTTGCATGAATGTATACATTATTCATACTCATCGTGTAAGATCATTTTCTTGATAATATTGGATAAGCAGATTGATTTAAGAATAGCTCTTTCAATTGATCTAGTTGTTTTTTCTGACAGCTATCACACCAGCCTAAACTTAACCAAAGCCAACCAACAAACCACACTTAACAAATGTGATGAGTAAGCACATTCAAATTCTAGAGGGAGGAGTGAGACAGGAAACAACAGCGCAATGATACCCCATCATTATATTCTGTTAACTTAACCGGCAACCTCACTCTGTCAAACAACCGTCAGGTTCAGGATGGCTGTCAGTATCCCAGGAGTAATAGTAATGGTTTTGTTCTACCTGCTGATCCTTGGAGTCGGCATCTGGGGTTCGTTCGAGTCCAAAAAGGAGAGGAACAATTCTCGGGGTGATAGTATGGAGACGGCTCTGCTGGGTAACCGAAGCATCAGTGGAGTTGTGGGGATCTTCACCACTGCAGGTGAGTTCACCTTATATTGCAGCCCAGTATCATGACAATGATAACGGACAAGAAATGACAAATGAAATGCATCCATGTGACTATGCAACGGGTCAGAGCTGGTGACGTAGGTAGCATTGAGTATTGACAAAGACCACTAATGGTGGGCTGGAGGGGAGGTGAATGGATCCAACAAACACAGGACTTTCAACCATGAGATTGGTGTTCAATACTGCGTGTCCCAGTGTGCTGTTGTGAAGAGACTCATTTGTGACGGTGTTCTTGAACCTAACTTTGTTAAAAAAGTTGTCTTTGAAAGCATTGAAACACATTTCCATGCACAATTTAACCTTAGCTAATTACATTCAAAACTGCTATTTTTAATATGAATCTGCAGTCCAAAGGGTATATTTTCCCTGTACAAAACTCAACAGAGCTTGAAACAATGTCAAGCAGACTTGCTGGTGTGTGTGTGTGTGTGTGTGTGTGTGTGTGTGTGTGTGTGTGTTTTCATATACGTTTTTTCCTTTTTCAGCTACGTGGATTGGAGGAGGCTTCATTATTGGAACGTGAGAAATGGTGTACAACCCGTCATTGGGCTTAATCTGGGTTTCCAGCTATTTTATGGGAGAAGCACTAAGTTTGATTATTGGTAAGTCTGTTTTGAACTACTAAAGTGTAGTGTGTGTTATTTGTGTTGCCAGACAAAACTAACAATGTTGAAGTTGTACAATTGTGTTATGCTGTACGCAAGCGCCCCCACAGATTCGATGTGTCCTTGAGCAAGACACTTAACCCCCCAAAACATTGCTCCCGTAGCTGTGTCTACGGTGTGATAGAATCTGAATTGTAAGTCGCTGTACTGTAATGTATTTCATTTGAGTGAATGTTTTTCACCAGATTCTCGACAGTCTCGTTTGTCTAGAACTGCTAATCCAGTCCAAAATGTTAACATTCATAAGCATGCAGAGGTACTCTATGGAAAATGATGCATGCCAGCATTGTATTGAGTAGTCAAGCAGTCAAAATTGCAGATCACGGGTGGTAAAATGGTACAGTGGTTACCACTGCTGCCTCGCATTAAGTGGGTTCTGCATGTTCTCTGTGTGGGTTACTTAAAAACTGTCCTTGTCTCATTAATTAGGTGGTCTTTTCTTTGCTGGGCCAATGAGAGAAAAAAAATATGTGACCATGATGGATCCTTTCCAGATCAAGTATGGAAAAGTACCAATGGCTCTTTTTGCTCTGGCCGCACTGATAACTGACATTTTGTGGGTGACATCAACACTGATCGATTTAGTTATGTACGCCATTACAGTTTAAATAAGATAACTGATTAATACATTTAAAAAAATTTGATGTATACATGTTTTGCATATATGACGGATCTAATCCCAACCTGAAGGGACTAGCGCTGCTGTTTCTTGCGTATGGAAGGATACACTTACACACACACACACACACACACACACACACACACTCACACACACATGTGCACACAGCAATTACACGCAATCTAAGGTATGTCTAATACATTACAGATAAATGTAAAACACATAGTAAGAATAGTTGCAAATAATGTAATTTGTACAACAATTAATAATTGTCACCTGTGTTTCTACAGGTGCAACCATGAGTGTGATTCTGGATTTACCATTCACCATGTGCATCTGGATCTCTGCTGCTGTGGCTATTATCTACACACTAATGGGAGGTCTCTACTCTGTGGCCTACACAGATGTAATACAGCTTGTCCTCATGTTTATTAGCTTGGTAAGTTTCTCACGTTTAGAGCAGATTTATGGTCACTACTCTCATAAAACAAGCATGCAATAGTCACACAGAGTGACTAACAAACAGGTATCAGCATGCAGGAGGATTGCTGCTTCTTTTGAGCTAAAATGTCAAATGTCTGTCTCCTAGAAATTATGTTCATATATTACTAACTTGTTTTGCTAATTATGTGTTAAGGGTGTTTGGTGGCACAGGTTCAAGTCAGAGAAAGATCAGGTTTTTTCAACAAGTAAAAAACGTAAACACATTGTATTGTCAGTGTCAACTTCTTCAATTCATTTTAAAGAGGAGCGCGAGTAGCTATGGAAAATTCTCATATTTTTGTTGCTGAAAAAGGATGTGGTCTCGCCATTAGACGCATCAGATCACTTGTATGTACTGTTCTGGAAATCTGGGTGGGTACAACATAACAATATTATGTTGCTCGTCTCTGCAGTGGTTCTGTGTCCCCTTTGTCCTGATGAGCCCCTCTTCCTCTGACATCACTCAGACAGCCTTCAACAACACTTTACAGGCCCCCTGGCTGGGTACACTAGAAGCAGACAAAGCCTGGAGATGGGTCGACAATTTCTTGGTTTTGGTAAGTGGAAGATCACATCATTGTTTATAAAAAAAAAAAAAACATAGTGCAGAGCCACAGCCCTTATGTCTAAGCCTTTATTTCTTAAGTGTTGTATTCCTAGTCTCAATTTGGAAAATGGTTGTGATCTTTATGGTGCAATTGACATTGCTTTTCTTTGAAGACTGGGTTGCCTAGGCTATCAGGCATTCCATCAGAGGACTTTGTCTGCCTCTTCCTCAGCCACAGCTAAAATCAACTGTTTTGTTGCTGCTGGAATTATTCTTATTTTTGCAATTCCTCCTGTCCTGATTGGCGCAGTGGTTGCATCAACAGGTAATTTATTCCCAATCAAAATTCTTTTTTTTTTTTACTGTTAAGGCATGAAACTTCCCTTTAAACCACTTAATGTGTCTCAAATGTGTACTGTCTATGTATCTGTCCATGCCTTAGATTGAAATCTGACTTCTTATGGTTCTCCATCTCCATTTGAACGTGGGGAGGCAACTCTTATAATGCCCATTGTCTTGCACCACCTCACTCCAACCTATGTCTCCATCGTTGGCATTGGATGTGTCGCTGCCGCCGTGATGTCGTCGACTGATTCTGCCATGCTCGCTGCAGCTTCCGTCTTCACCTCCAACATCTATAAGAACATCCTGAGGACCCAGGTCACAACCTTGAAGTTGTTTTCATAATCATAAGCCCCGACTTGGACAAGAGTTAGATTGACAGATGGTTCTTCTAACCCCCTGTCGTGTATTTTGTGAATGTTCCTGTTCTTTCAACGGTATCTCTGCAAAACACTTGAGAAAATGTTTCTCTTTTAGTCTTTCTGCCCACGGTGGTGAAATCCGTTAAAGTAATGCAGCATTAACTACAGCAGTGTTTTAATCACGACACAAATCTTGGGATAGGTTAAGAAGAAAAGAGAGGAGAGGAGGGAAGGAAAGAAATGAGCATTGTGATAATGGAAAAATGGAGAAAGGGCAAACAGGAATAGGATTGAGTTGAGACAGATGGTAGATAGAATAAATAGCTCATCCTGTCATCTTTTTCTATTTCTCCTTTCCCAGGCATCAGAGAGAGAGATCCAGTGGGTGATTCGTGGCTGTGTGGTGGGAGCAGGCTTGATCGGAACATCACTCACCAGTGTCAATACCAGCACATCAGTGTTATGGTTTCTTAGCACATTGATAACCTACATTATTATCTTCCCTCAACTGGTCTGTGTTCTGTTCTCTAAAATATCTAATGGTTATGGGGCTGTTATGGGCTGGCTGGTGGGGCTGCTGTTAAGACTGTTGTGTGGAGAGCCGTTGATTGGGCTACCACCCATCCTCCATTTGCCAGGATGCACTCTTGACGATGGTGTTTATGTCCAAAGCTCTCCAGTGAATACCATCTCCATGTTGGCTGTCTTGGCTGCCAACCTCTTGTTTTCCTACTTGTTCTCTCTGCTCATCCACAAAAACCTGCTTCCTGAGAAGTGGGATGCATTGAACATGAAAGTCCAACAGTTGCCAAAACAACAGACATCAACATACAGCGTCAAAGGCAACAATGACAATATTTGTGACAAAGAAGTTTCAGAGCCTATGATGAGTACAGCGTGTTAAATAAGCAAAACCACACCTTGTGTGAGATACAAGCTGAAGCAAGTTTTTGGCGGGCAGCGGGGCATTTTCACATTATTTTGATAGCAAAGAGGCAGACAGGAAACGGGGAGAGAGAGGGGTGTGACATGCAACAATGTTTGCCAGCTGGAATCAGTTTTGGTCTTCTTTCTCTAAAAATATAAGTGTAACAAAATAAATAAATTGAATTAAATGTCAAATAATACTCATACAATCTCCATTTGGTAGATATCATCCCTGGTCATGTACAAAGAACATGTGCCAACCAGCTAACTGATTAACATATCACTGTCACAGGAGAGTGTTCCCACCTGCTTCAAGAGAGCTACCATCGTCCCTGGCGACTATGGGTAAGTGGAGAGCAGGGCCGTCCTTCAATCGGCGGTTCGATCCCCGGCTCCGGCTCTGCTAGTCGCATGTCGATGTGTCCTTGAGCAAGACACTTAAACCCCCAAAAAATTGCTCCCGTAGTGTCACAGTTTAGGCTTTGCCCCCTGTGTTCCTGTGTCTCTCTGTCTGTGTGTGTGTGTGTTTCCCTTGATTGCACTCATCCTACTCACCTGCCTTCAATCTTCTCATCACCCCACACATATAAACTCCCCTGCTTTCCCTATTCTGGTTGTCAGATCGTCCTTGTTCATTCCCCTGTCTATCCCTGCATTGTGTCTCCCTCGTGTTTGCTCCGTGCTCCAGCGTTTGCTCCTGGTTTGTTCCTTTGCCTTTGTTTTGTGATTTGGGATATTTTTGCCCACTCCGTTGGAGTCACTTTGTTTGCATTTATGACTTTAAGTAAAAACCTTATTTTTCAACTACACCTCATCTCCAGTGTCTGTGTCTGCGCTTGAGTCTCCGATCTGCCCCTCGGGCGTGACACGTAGCTGTGCCTACGGTGTGATAGAATCTGAATTGTAAGTCTAGATCAAACGATTACGACTCTGTTGCATTCACCCCCATGAGGTGCTTTGACAAACTGGTTCTCCAGCATATCAAAAACAACATTCCCAGCCAAGGTGTACCCTCACCAGTCCGTAAAGAGAGCCAACAGATTATTTGAATTCCTCTCAAACAACCCCCAGGCAGTTCGTATTGGCAGCCACACCTCCTACACTTTAGTGTTGAACCCCGGCGCCCCACAGGGCTGTGTGCTCGGCCCTTTCACCTTCACGCTGTAGACCCACGACTGCAACCCCAGACATGAAGAGAACTGTTGTGAAGTTTGCAGATGACACTACCATCATCGGCCTGATTACAAACAACATTGAGACTTAATATAGAAAGGAAATAAACCATCTTGCAGAGTGGTGCTCAGCGTTCCATCTACTGCTCAATGTCGGTGAACCGAGCTTATTGTTGATTTAACCCTTGTGTCGTCTTATGGGTCAAAAATGACCCGTCACTATGTTTAACAGCATAGGAAACCCCTTTAATGATCTTTTTTCAACTTGAAATTCAATGACTTTTCCTAGAATGACCCCAACATGAAAAAAAGTTAAACAATGCCTTTGTTCATATTTCCATAAAAGCTGTACACCAACAGTGTACACATCTTGTCTTAGGGGTAATTTTTGACCCGGTAGTTATAAAATCATTTTCATACTACAGAAACCATAAAAAACACACCACAACACACATTCATACACACACACAAGAAATTGAGATTACATGTGCTACTGATTGAACTCAGGGAAAACAAAAACTTTCTTGCGAATATGCAGCATGTCCCCTCCACGACCCCACACCTGGCTGAAGTTCACAGACAAAATACAAACAAGATCAGAGAGAATAAACATTTCCTGAAAGCATTGTTTACTAATGGGGAATGCAGTCAGAGGCTCTAGAGGTGCTGCAGATGACAGCACCCCCAGACAACTGGAAATGGATGGATGAGATTGACCTGCTCGGGCTGCTAATCTTAGCAGGTGTGTATAGGTCCCAAGGCGAGGCTGCATCTAGTCTTTGGGATGCAGAGAGTGGAAGGGCGATTTTCCGTGCAACGATGTCACTGAAAGTCTTTCATACTTTATCAAAAACGATACGATTTGATAATCGTGAGTCAAGACCTGCAAGGCATGTGGCAGACAAACTTGCGGCCATAAGAGAGGTCCGGGAGAAGTGGATTCCACTGATTAAACACAGTCTTTCTGCACTGTGAAGAGGAACAACTTAGATATTCACGAATTTTGTGATGAATGACAGGTTGTTTCTTCATGCAAAATAGATTTGGGATTTAAAATGCAATCAAGCTGTTTTATTTTAGGGGTTTAGTGAAAGCGGGTCATTTTTGACCCTTAGGACAAGTAGTGTATACAGAAAGTGAAGACAACACAGGGGTTAAGAAAAAAATGAGGCAAACAGACACACACACACACACAAACACACCTGTCTACATAAATGGAGCTCAGGTGGAGCAAGTGAACAGTGTTTGCATCACAAACAACATGATGTGATCATCACACAACTCAATGCGGGTGAAAAAATCCCTGCATATTTCTAAGAATTCAAAGTTCCTGTTCCCACTTCTTCTTAACTTATACAGAGGAGCAAGAAAGCATCCAGACTGGAAACATTACAAACCGGCATTGATTCATTAGAATCATCAATTTAGCAAGTGCATGAGCACCCAGCCATAAGCATTTACGCATTTACGAGTTAATCCAGTTGATACTTGATCACTTGGAAAAGTTGGCATTGTTTTGTTATCACACTTCGTGTAATAACAGGATACTATGGGTGTTGGGAGATTTCGGGTGATGCATTTTATCGTTATTTCAACATCCATCCATGTCTGGATATTGAACTGACAATTGAATGACACGGAGACAAACAGTATGATTAGCCCCGAGGATGTAGGTTTGGTTTCAGCTTGCAGATATTGTTGTCAGGCATCCAGCATAGCAGAGAATGACGAAGCATTTCTTGTCACTGCTCATCAGACTTGCACAACAAGGTATCTACAAACCAGCCCTTCTTCAGTTCATTGGTACTCTGAACTGTCTTGTGTCAATAGCTCTTGGGTTGAGATCAAAACTCTGCAGTGGTCAATTCAAACAGTGGCCCCTCTTAATGTAATCCTGCTTTTTGGATACTTGTCTTGTTGCAGCACAGAACTTCTATCAGACCTCAGGTAACAGTCTACAACCTGGTATTCGTATGTTTAAAAAAAGAAAGTTATACATTTTTTTAATATTTTAAAATCAGACTTAGAGACAACTTTGTGTTTTACTTATTAGGGGAGAGCACTTTTAATTTAAACCTACAATCTCATTTTAAAATCTACACTTTGACAGCAGAAATTAGTTTTCTACTGTTGTGACTTCAAGGGAATTAAGACCACAAATTATTTTGTTTTATCTTTCATCTTAAACAATTTCATTTTCCCTGTCAAACAGTTATACTGTTTGCACCAGTCTTCAGGTTCAGCATGGCTGTCAACCTTCCCGGACTGATAGCAATGCTGTTCTTCTACCTGCTGGTTCTCGGAGTCGGCATCTGGGCTTCTATCAAGTCCAAAAAGGAGGAGAACAAAAGTGCGGCTGACAAACTGGAGATGGCTCTGTTGGGAAACCGAAGCATAAAAAAGGTGGTGGGGATCTTCACAGTGACAGGTACAGCGTTACATTGTAGATAGGTAGAGGAGGTGGCACTTTAACTGGATTTAATTGTCCGTCCTTTACAACCTGCAAGCGGTGTTGCTAATTCCTTTCACTGGAAAGTAGCTAAAGCCTACTTAAACATGTGTGAACGTATTCCAACTTGCCATCACATTTGCTACCACAACATCAATGGGAAAACATAGTATTATATAAATGGAAATTCTGGAAGATGGGGTTGGTGACGAACTGAATTCTCTACAACATCAGAAAACAATATTTGTTTTTGTATGCATGTACTTTTCTCTATACTGGTTTCTCTTGTGAACTAATTTGTGTGTTTGTATGTGTCTGTCCCTCCTGTAGCCACGTGGGTTGGAGGCTGCTTCATCATGGGCATAACTGAGATGATATACACCCCCTCTATGGGACTAATGTCAGCGGTAAACCTCATAGCAGCTTATTGTTTTTCCTTAATTTTGGGTAAGTATTAAAGAATTACAATCAAGATAAGTTTGATCATGTTTGCATATTTCATACAACAAAAACACGAAGTGAGAGAGAGAAAGAAAGGCAGAAAGGGGATAAAGCACATAACACGTAACAGGCCCTCAGAGGCCTTCTCTGGATGAATTAATTGACTTCATCTTGTCTGCTGCTTCAAGATTTTTGAAATTGTGTCAGGCCTCATGAATGAAATTGAATTCTAATCATATATAGTAAATTAGAGGTGTTCGTGAGATTCATTCATCTTATAATTATCATTGTACACCCATCTCTTTTGTAATGACTGTATGTATCGGGAGAAAAAGTATTTTAGGGCCCGTGTGCATCATGTGATCCTGTGGGCTTGGTTTGGGTGTATTAAGAGAGCTGTACACAGCACTGCCACAGAAATAAGTAGAACCAGCATTGCTTCAGGAGACTTTTAGAGGAAAGAACCTGGGTTAATAGACCAACAGGGATAGCTGAGTTAGCATGACTTCCTCTGTAAGTAAGGTTAGCCTAGTTAGCAAGGCTGAAGGTAACCAAAGAAGGTAACCTTCTGCTGTCTGTCATATTGTGCCTTGAGTCCCACATAGCTTCACTTGACTTGAGACCATGTTTGATGAAGTCTGCCTGATCTGCCACTTAATGAAAGCAGGTGTGAATGCAAGGCTCATGATCAGATGTTCATATAACGTATCCAGACGACGCACTGCATGTGAATACCAGGGAGGTGATGTGTGTTTTTGCTGTTTTTCTTTTGACTGTCTGCATTTTGCATTTGTTAAATCTATCCGTCTGTTTTAATATTCAGGTGGCCTTGTGTTCATCAAGCCAATGAGAGACAACAAATATGTGACCATGTTGGACCCTTTCCAGATCAAGTATGGAAAAGCATTCACAGCCATTCAGTCACTGGGTGCACTTCTCAGCGATATTTTGTGGTTGGCTGGAACACTAATCAGCTTAGGTAAGGTATACAAGCACTTTACCTACAACTTCTTTATAGTTTCTATTTTGACAACAGGTGCATGTGTGTGTTTCAGGTGCCACCATGAATGTGATTTTGGATTTGCCCTACTCTGTGAGCATCTGGATCTCTACTGCTGTGGTGATTGTCTACACACTGCTGGGCGGCCTCTACTCTGTGGCATACACAGACATCATACAGGTCATCCTCATTTTCGTCACCATGGTGAGGATACTATACTTTTATGCTATACGTTTTAGGAAAACACGAAGCAACAGTCTCTTGACTGTGTTTGGAACAACCTGTGACTAATCATACTTCATTAGTGCAGAAAAAATTGGAACGAAAACAAAGTGTTCTAATGAAATCCGATACAGTAGTTGTGCAATTAATGAATGGTCCTAGAGTTTGTGGTGATCTATTTGGTTGATTCATATTGTTCTTTATTGATGCTGACAACATATTCTAATAAAAAACAATTATGTCCTCAAAAATCATTTATTATTACATTATGAGCTTCGCCAGGGTATTTTCTGGGCTTGTTGTACTTGATTGCATTGGAATGCAGGTGTACCTATTATACGAATATTAAAAGGTTTTTTGTCTTAAGGAATTTGTTTCTCATATTGAAATGTACACACACACATTTTCTGTAGCTTACCTTGCCTTATTTTGCTGTTTAAATGATTTATTTTTGCTTTAGTTGCTGTCATGTGTTCTTTGTCTTTGCAGAGTGTCTGTTTACCGTTTGTCCTGATAAACCCCACCCATGTGGACATTACTCAGACGGCCCTGAACAACACTTTCCAGGCGCCCTGGATTGGTAAACTGGAGAGGAAGTTTGCTTGGACCTCTATCGATACCTTCTTATATCTGGTGAGCTCAAGACATTTAAGGCTGGTTTGCTCCAGTGTAAATACATCAGCTTCAGTATAATGTTGCAGCTGGTTACATACAATAAATGGCTATATTGATTTGTGTAATGTTGGCATAACAGTTTCATAGGTTTTTCATGAAAACTCACAGGAATATGATTCAAATCTTATCATCCTCATTTGATTAAAATTGTCACTTTCAAGTTGCAGTCAATTCGCTGACGAAATATTAAGCAATGGAAGATTCACTGTAAATGTCCCACAATGGTCTAAGTGTTTCTGTGTGAAAAACAACATTCAGGGAACTTGTTGTGAAAAAAAACCTACATAGTTCTAGATTGGTTGATTGGGAGTCCTGCTTCGGTCCAGTTTTGGGGACTGATGCACCTGGATTGATAAAAGGACATTGGTAGATGCTATTTTTATTTCTTCTTTCTCCTGTTTATTCAACCCGCAGCCCACCTAGATTTGATCAATTTATAACCATACCCATGCACGCACATTAGGAAATCCATATTTGTTACCCATTTTGTGCGTTACCAGACCCTGGTTACCATGTGAAGGACCCTAGAAGATTGCCAGTGCTGATAAATGATGAGCACTCAGTTAAATTGTTATCTAATGGTTGTCTTAATGAATTAAACTACCTAAATGTGATGTGTGATTGACTATCTCAACTTTCATAGATTCAATAGGAATAACAATTAATATGACTGTATTACTTCCAAGTGTCTGGGAAGCCTGGGAACCCAAGCCTTCCACCAGAGGATCTTGTCTGCTACTTCCACATCGGCGGCTAGGACCACATGCTTTGTTGGGTCTTTCACTGTTATCATATTTGGAATACCTCCTTTACTGATCGGGGCAGTGGCTGCATCCACAGGTAATAAGAGCTTCTAAAGACATGAACTGATTTTTATTGAAAACATGCAAAGATGGTAACTAAAGTATAAGTACATACAATGTGTGTGACTGCATTAAACCAAATCCCCCAGAAGCTACTACATTTAATGCTGTGCTTCTCAACGTTTGAGAAAGAATCCCTAGCATAGTCACTTGAAGATTGCATAGATTGGATCAGAGGAGATGTTTAAGACAAAACAATTAATAGTTTAAGAACTGCTGAGACATTTGAGTTCCCAAAGATAGCTGAAACAAGTAACTGTGTTAAGACAGAATAGGAAGTCATTTAGATCAGCAGACAAGTGAATGGAGAAAATGTAATTGTTTAATATAACAGATGATGTGTGAGTTGTGTGAGATGATAAGTCTTGATTGACAGCCCTGAACAATGACAGCATGGAGATAAGAGTGAGCATGTCTGAACTGTGTGAGAAATAAACTACAGGCCTAAGCATGCAAAAGGGAAGTCTTCCTGACTGGACTGAGTCTAGCGCTTCATTTGGCGGACATTATATACAAAGTTAATGGAAAGACAGGATTAGGTGCAAATTCACCCAGGCAAATTGCACAATTGCGAATTGAAGCACATACTTGAAAATTGCAAAATTTGAGCAGCCAATTTGTGCGAATTCCGAGGCTTTGTGAATCTGCTTCATTAACGCACAGAGATTAGTGGAAGAGGGAGAGAGACATGGAGACAAATGGGAGAAGGGCGCAGAGCTCTTGGTGAGATCATTTAGAGGCTGAACTGAACTGAAGCTGTTAAATTCCTGCGAACATAGCTGGTCAAAAATATGCTTCATTCTCTCTTTGTTTATCATATCTGTCTACATGCCAGACTGGAACCTCACTTCTTATGGTTCTCCGTCTCCGTTGGAACGTGGGGAGGCAGCTATGGTCCTGCCTATCGCCCTGAACTACCTCACCCCAAAGTTCGTCGCTATCATCGGCACCGGAGCCATTTCTGCCGCTGCTATGTCATCAGCCGACTCTACTTTGCTCTCCGCAGCCTCCATTTTCACTTGCAACATCTACAAGACTATCCTGAGGCCTCAGGTGTGAACAACTAAGAATGTTTCTTCATGCTACATCTCAAAAAAGAGGAGGCAATCCTTCATTTTCAAAGATTTGAAAGACTTGAATGAGAAACTGAAAAGAGTTGGAACCGACTGCGAGTGACATAAAAGTAATGAATGGGCATTGTGGAGAAAAAGGGCAGTAGATAAAGTAGAAGGGTAGAATGAGAAAATATTGAGAGGATGTGAAACCTTAGCTCCGTTACTTCTCTGAAACTAATTTGTCTTTGCTTTTTCCTTTCTATTCAGGCATCACAGACAGAAATCCAGTGGGTGATCCGTGCTACTGTGGTTGTGGCAGGCTTGATCGGTGCATCACTCACCAACTTTAAAAATAGTATCATTTGGATGGTGTTCCTTGGTTGTGAAGTGTGCTACATATTGATCTTCTCTCAGCTTGTCTGTGTCCTCTTCTTCAACATATCCAACTTCTACGGGGCTGTTATGGGCTGGTCGACAGGGTTGGTGTTAAGACTGCTCAGTGGAGAGCCATCACTAGGGGTAGCACCAGTCATACACTTCCCAGGATGCACTCTCGAGGATGGCATTTATGTTCAGTACTCCCCAGTGAGGACCATCGCCATGCTGTCTGCCATCGTTGCCAACTTGTTGTTCTCCTACCTGGCTTCTGTGCTTTCCAACAAAGGGTTGCTTCCTGAGAAGTGGGATGTGTTCAAGGTGAAAGCCCAGCACTCAGCACAACCACCGACACCAAGCGATGACAGCAAAAGATACAATGAGAAGGAGACGCTTGATGAAAAAGAATCTCACCAAGATACATTAGAGCCAATGATTACCACTACATGTTAAAGATTTTATGTGCAGTACTTTAATGTAATAATACTAATTATTATTATTACTATCAACATGCAATCAGTTTCTTTTGGAGTATTCAAGCTACTGTATTCGGGTTTTTCATAAACGGGGGCTTATCCTCTAAAGATGAGGAGGACTGGAACAAAGAACTGGACCAGGGAGGATCACATTGCTTGTGATATGGATGAGTTGATGTAGCCAGACCCTGAGAGAAGGCGGGATCCATTGTCAAAAATGTATAAATAGTTTATTTGTTTTGGATTTTGATGAGAGGTTTTCAAATTTGATAATAATGCCACTTAATCAAAAAATTGCGTTTATTTAGTCAACAGCAGCATTTACACTATTATTATTAAGAGGAAATATTTTATAAAGAAAGCCATCAATTAAATATTTACTTTTTTTAATTTTAATTGCCTTTTGGTCGCTCTCCATACTGTCTGCTATCATCACAATCCGGTCCCATTGCCATCAGACTACATAACAACAGTGGAGACCACAGACTCATTACTCTCCATTTTTTTGACTCTCTGTTGGGCTGATTTATTAATATATATTCTATATTATAGGAGCTTTAGTTTATTGTATACTGTACCATACATTGCCGTAGTTCATTTGATATTCTGTTACACTGCTATATTCTGTAAGACTGCTATGTTACAGTATAGTGTCAACATCATATACTTCATTGTATTTCTATGTGTTTTTTAATAAATATCCTTAATTCATCCTAAGCACAGTATTCAAAAGAAAATATATTTCATTCTGAACTGACGGTAGCAACTAGTCAGTTACTTTTAACATGAAACACTTAAAGGTAAAATTTGCCAATTTTTCTTTGGATGTTCAATCAGTGTTGATGGTAAATGCAGTCCATTGAAGAAATAAAGTCCCCAGGTATTGCTATATTGATGTTGGCTGCTGCACCGTAAAGTAGCCTCTCTCTGTCTGAACCCGGCTGATCTGCACCTTGTAGTGGCTTGTCCTTTGAAGTTCTGATTATTAACTCATGTCTCATCACTTCACATCTGAACACCCCATCTTGGCTGGCTTTGACCTCTGTCATATATGCTAGAGACTGCCAGCTCAAAGTCATGACAACATGAAAGAGATATTTTTACTGATAATCTTAAAAGTGCTTACATTGCTGGATTGCTGCTCCCCTATGCCTCAGCCAGCTGGCTGTTCCTGTGCCGACTCAAAACTGAAGGCTTTTGCAGTCGGGGCTCCTCGGCTGTGGAGCCCCCCGCCTGAAGATCTGAGGCTTGCAGAATCAGTGAGATCTTTTACATCCCTTAGCATTTTAGTGTTTTGATTAATGCCAGCACATCTCTTATCTGTATTTTATTCCATTATTTTAACTGTCTGATGACTTCTTTTTTTTGCCTCATTCCAGTCCCGACATGTTTTAATCCTGGTTAAACCATGTAAAACACTTGCAACTTTATTTTGAAAAGTTATGAAGGGATGCACATTCTTGCAGGCCTAATTCAGCCAGTACAAGTATCCAACAATCTGCACATTTGTGTGACCTTTTTAGGACAGGTAAATCCTTCCTCATGAAGAATGAACATGCACAGCTTCTCACTGAAGACCTCTTATTTCAAACCCAAGCTCTTTGTTTTCTAGATTCAGTGTATTTGTTTGCAAACTACAATACTTGATGGTAATGTCTGTGCATTGTAGAGAAAGGATGTGATGTGGCAGACAGCCGATGCAGTCTGAAAGAATAAGTATCACCCTATAACTTATTCTAGGAGAGTAGAACTTCAGTTCAAGGATATTGGCATGATCTGAAGTATATTAGTAATATTAGTAGATGTCCACTGAATGTTTTTTACATTTAGTATTTTTTACTTTTATTTTTATTGTATATGCTGTGCATTTTTGTACTCAATATTTTTTATTTTTACTCTGTTACTTTGATTGCTTACCCGTATCATAATGCTGCTGTAGCGAATAAATTTCACCCTGCGGGATTAATAAAGTATCTATCTATTCACACTCCATACCAATTGGTGGCGGTAATGCGCCCTAACGTTGTTTGCCAACCACCATAATAAAAGAAGAAGAACAACAACGAATGGACGCATGCGCAGTTTCTGCTTGAATCCGATTGGTCCGTTTCAAACTCAGACCGCGACTGTGTTGTGTTGTTGTCTTTAGTTAGCTAGCACACAAAATAATACTATTTCTACTCACCTAATGTCCCACATATGACTGCCAGGTAAGTGCTTCTGAGTACGTTTCAGTTGTGGTGTTTTCGTTCACGTCTTTTCAGAAAAGTAAACGGACATTTTAAACTATGTTATGTTAATCAACGCTACATGTTGACGGGTGCGGCTGCTAGTCATCTGAACATTTCTAGCTAAACGGCTAACATTAGCTTGTTTGCTAGCTTGTCCAAGAAACTTTAAGCGGTTGGTGAACACATTTTGTAACGATCCAAACTTGCAGAAAAACCGTTAAAACCGTTTATGAACTGGCAAGACACCGATAACGTTAACAAAGCGGCACTATAATGAGCATTTGGAAGCTATCAAGTGCATCACTAGGTGCCACATTTTTGAAGGGGGTGGCTTAACTTAACGTTACTGTCCGTTGAGTTTGTCTTGGTAAGGCAACGTTTTTTAAAAGCGAGCTAGCATTTGATGACTTGGCATTTTTTGCTTTGTTTTGGCTGACTTTTCTGTCGTTGTTTTATTTGTGGCAGGATGATGGAATCATGCCTGAACAACCAGGCTGACAGGCGGGAACAGGTAGAGGTCGACGATTTGAAGAGAGATCTCTCATCAGAATTCAGCACCTTACCAGACCCTCAGGTAAACCTGGAGAAGTCATTGTAATTCACAATGATGCTATCAATACTAATGTCAGCATATTCAAGGTATATTCTACCTATAGTCACATATATAGGATATATGGAATATATATTTTTGCCCAGAACGAGGACTGTGGATTTTGTCCCTCCATCACTTAAATTGAAAGTGCATTATGAAGGGATCTTACAATGTCCTGTATGAAAAAGAGGAATCATTACAACAAGCAAATGTGAACCTATCCTTTCAATTTTAGAGTTTTTAGCCCAAATGTAGTCTTTCACTTTCCTCTTGCTGTTTTTGATTAAATCCTGATGTGTTGTGCAGCATTCCAGCATTGAGGAGAGAGGACACCTTCAGGTCTACCTCCGGATCCGACCCTTCAGCTCAGCAGAGACCATTAATGGAGAGTCACAGGTAAACATGAAGAACATACAGAGAGTTGATCAGAAACAAAAGTATGCTTGGTAGCTGCTTGGTTTTGTGGTTGTCAAAACTTTGTTTATATTTACTCAGAAAATAATAAAATAATGACTTCAAGACCCACCCCCCTAAAATGGGCTGTCTGTCTGCCTTCCTCTTCTTTTGTTTTTACCAGCACTGTGTTACCATCGAGCCCCCTGACACCGTTCTGCTGAAGCCTCCCAGGTTGTCCCTCTCAGCGAGGCTCAGCGTTGAAAAATCACTTCCACAGACTGGACAGCGCTTTCAATTCTCTCAGGTTCGTGTTTCCTGGCAGATAAGATGGCCAACAAAGTTTATTGATGTGTATTGCAATGCATTTTGGTCTGCCGCCTTTCATTTTCTGGACCTAAAAACAGGGCCACAGGCAAGGAAAGGTTGAGAAATCCTCATATACAAGAAAGTGTTTCATTGTCTTTTATTAAGTCCCTACTCATTACCTCCCTTTTAACAGGTGTATGGTCCTGAGACGATGCAGAAAGAGCTCTTTCAAGGCACAGTAAAGGATTTGGTGAAAGATGTTCTCGAAGGGGAGAACTCTCTGGTTTTCACCTATGGAGTCACCAACGCTGGGAAGACCTTCACATTCTTAGGTGTGTTCCTCTTTGTTATTGTAGATTCTGCTTTGTTTGGTCTATTTGTACCACAAACCTTAGCTCGGCTAGCTATCAGGAGACTCGGGCTGATACTTTGTCAATAAGTGAGTGAACTCTGAATTTCTGATCTGCCTTTGCTGAAACTGATGACTAAAGTTAAATGTGCTGTTATGTAGTTGAAGCATCTGGGAGGAATAATACTTCATAAATTACCCATTATCAACCGATAATTTGTCGGGCCTAATGTATATCTTGCATCCCTACAAGTATCTTAATAATGTAATGATCTGCTTTTGTCACTCCAGGTCCAGATGCTGATGCTGGTATCCTGCCCAGGTCTCTCGATGTCATTTTCAGCAGTATTGAGGAACAGGTGTTCACTGGGATGAGCGTCAAACCTCAACGTTGCCGAGAGTTCACGAAGCTCACCAGGGAGCAGCAGGCTGAGGAAGTGACGTTCAAGAGAAAGTTCTTCAGTCAATTTAAAGAGGTAACCAGTCTGTCCAAACCTGCTGCAGAGTTAGCAGAGCAGCATCTCCAGTCCTCCATCAATGTCTGCACGGGGTTCATTCAGGCACAGAGCCAGCGTAAAAGCCAATTAATTTACATGAAAGAATTGAAAGACGGAACGGTTCTTCCCTAAGTTACACACGAGAGAAGTTTGGCTTCAGGGCTCTCTGCCAGAAAACCCATCCTGCCAAACATCTACCTAGGTTTTAGTCAACAAACTACTTGGTTTGGGTTAAAATAAACCCTTTCTGGCAGACAGCCCTAAGGCATACTCCCATGTGCTGTGTGATTCGTGGACAGACTTTTTAGAGGTTTAAATTGTCAGATAGCCTCCTACACATTTCTACATAATGCATATACTTCATGCCATTTGGAGGACTGTAGGTTTTTGGTCCTTCTTTCTTTTAAGCTGGTAAAGTTTAAGCGAATATCGCCCCCAGACATATACTGCCTTTGAATGCCTTAAAAACTCTTTACTAAACTTTTTACTAATTGCTCTTTGTAACATTGCTCTAAAAAGTTCTCAAATAAATAAACTTGTATATATGTATATATGTATATATGCATATATGTGTATGTATATATGCATATATGTGTGTGTGTGTGTGTGTATGTGTGTATATATATATATATATATATATATATATATATATATATATATATAGGTAAGTTGTTCAAATTAAAAGTGTGTTTGATGCATTTTTAACATTTTAATCTTTTACTTCATCTTTTAGAGTGAGAAGAGCAATACCAGCCAGAGGACTCTCCTTGAAGGCAAGATTTAGATTTTTTATTTTATTCTACTATTGGTTGTTTTTCTGCTATTGTTTTTTTTTTTTTTTACTCTGCAGCAGCTGAACATCTGACACTGAAAGCACCTGTGCACTTTGATCATGTTGTATTACTGATTGATAGGACTATCGGGCTTTGTTTTTATTATCAGAATGTACTGATTAACCTGAGGGCAGGAATGCCAATACATCTCTTTGAGTTCTGTTATACAGAAAAGTAAAGCACAGAATTGCTACTGTTACTAAGTGCTGTAGAGCGTGTTACTACAGGTCAATGATTTTTAGCGTTTTTTGTTTTTTTTTGCAGACTCCTCCATGCTGGGCACGACCGTAGCAGCAGAGGACAAAATCAGCCTGGCAGTGGAAGCCCACACTAAGTTCTCTGTTTGGGTTTCTTTCTGTGAAATCTACAATGAGAACATTCACGACCTCCTTGAGGTGGTACCCAGCGGGGTGCCGAGGAGGACCGCACTGCGCCTGTCCCAGGACGTCAAGGGCAACGCCTTTGTCAGAGGTCTGAGGGGTCGGGTGGGGGGGGGGGGGGGGGGGGGGGGGGGGGGGGGGGGGAGCAGCAGACACTACCACATTATTTGTATATTAAAACAATGCAGACTATTTAAGCATAGATTTGATCTGTGGCAAATTAAAATATCCCATCAAAGTTAAATTACTTTTCTTTTTTTCCCACCGAATGTACTCTAATGCACTATAATGCTTAGTGACATTCGTTGCAGCTCTTGTTTAAAATGAGTACAACTTCTCCCGGTGCTGTATTTATGGGTTGGTGTACTTTGCTTCTTTGGCCTGATGAGCTCTCTACATTTTCTTAAAATAAAGTAATTTAGGACCTTTCCCGTTGAATGTTGAGAAATAAGCATATGAATAAATGAATGTCATGTTGCTCAAATTAATGGTCAGAAACATTTTGGAATTCTTTAACTTTTCCTGCGTTAAGATAAAGAGTGAAATGTTACCTGTCCGTTTTATATGAATCTCCTGTTTTATCACATTTGTATTTAGATCTGCGATGGATGCAGGTGAATAGTGCAGAAGAGGCTTACAAGGTGATGAAGCTGGGCAAGAAGAACCAGAGCTTCTCCTCCACCCGACTCAACCTGCTCTCCAGTAGGAGGTGAGGACTTCAATAACCATTGGTATATTTAGTGGAATACCATGGTCATGGTTTGTACCTGGATAATATTCTTAACCGGTGGTGTTGCAGTGACAAGTGTACATCACACTGATTTTGTGAACAGAATATTCATTTTCAAAGATTCATTTCATTTTATCTTGGTTATTGACCCCCTTCATATAAGCATTATTATCTTTAAGTCAAATGTGTTTTTTGCCCGTTGAGTAAGGCATACTCACTTTTCTGTGCACTTGCTAAATTGTGGTTATAGTTTTACTAAAATAAACACAACATAAAAAAGGGGAGCAAAATAAATCGGAGCCAAGTCTCTTAAGAATTACATTCGTCCACTTTATAACTGTGTTGTATGAATTTTATTTCTCTGCTTTTGTGCTTATTTCTTGTGGTAATTTCTCTTTTAAGATCCTGTTTATTCCATCTTAATACAAAGTTACTGAAACATATGCTCCATATGTTTTGTCTTTCTGCAGTCACAGTATTTTCTCCATTCGTATATTGAGAATTGAAGATATTGGGACTCCCAGGGTCCACGCAGTCAGCGAGTGAGTGACACTTTAGACATATAGACATGGTTTTAGGTGTGGAACTGTCTGTTTGCAAAACAACGCTGCATTGAACATGTGTGCAAAATATAATCTTTAGCTGGATGTACAGCGTGTCTGAGTTATCGTGTACTTCTTGGTGCGTTTGTCATCAGGTTGTGTTTGTGTGACCTGGCTGGTTCGGAGCGATGCGCTAAGACCCAGAATAAAGGAGAGCGCCTCAAAGAAGCCGGAAACATTAACACCTCATTGCTCATCCTTGGAAAATGCATCAATGCACTACGACACAATCAGCAGGCCAAGTGAGATTTTAACTATCCGTCATTTTCTCCTTAATATGCTTTATGGAATATGAAAGGGTCACTCCATAGTGCTCTAAAAGGAGAGTGAAACTCTTTTTTTTTTTTTTTTATCCTCCCTTTAGCACACTGTTTTGTTTTACTGTAGTTGTAATATTTTCAGCAACTACAAAAAAGATAAACCCTACTTAATACAACTTACAGCAGATGGAAAAAGTTTACGGCTGGGGACAAAAATTGATATCTAGCAGCTAAAGATCCAGATATTTTTCTGGTGGAGGAGTTGGTGGAGACCAAATCAGTGCTAAAAGGAGGATGAACATTGGACTTGCAATCATCAATCAAGTGGACACAAACCCAACTTCTATAGCGTGATTAAATTGCATAGTGTATAAATAGGTAACTGTTTGGAAACACATTTGCCGTAACAATTTAATAAGCTTTATAATAAGAAATTCTATACAAGTTATCAATGCCAACTAAGCTGTTCCCTCCCTCAGGCTGCGTCAGCATGTTCCCTTCAGGGAAAGTAAGCTGACCCACTACCTGCAGAGCTTCTTCCTTGGTCGAGGTAAAGCCTGTATGATCGTCAATATCAACCAGTGTGCCTCCATGTACGACGAGACGCTCAACGTCCTCAAATTCTCTGCTGTGGCACAGAAGGTGCATATACATTTTCATTTTCTCTCTTGCTTTGCTCTCTGAGAGTGTTCCCCCTTTTTTAAGTGTATAATTGGTGATTATTATATTTAATGTTTTTTTCTTTTTCATTCCTGTCCGTTTCCAGGTTGTTGTTCTGTCCACCAGGACCGCTCCCATCATCATGCCCCAGAGGTCCGCCAGTGATATATCCTTCATCATCAACAACGCTGAGAGAAAGGCTCTGCGGAGCAGCAGGAGGAGCTCCTTGATTGGCTGGGATACTAGCCTGGAAGATGTGCAGGTGGGGTGGAGCCTGGGTCACATCATGAGGCGTTTGCTTTTTACTTTACTTGGATTATCACTTGAAATAGTTTGTAAACATGTTTAAATCTTTTGTCCAGGAGGACGAGAATGATGAGTATGAGGAAGAAGAGAGCCTGATGGAGAGCACAATGGATCAGACAGGCAATGAAGAAGACGCAGATGAAAGTGATGATAAAATTCTCATCAGTGAACGGACGCACCAGGTCAGTCCCTTAACAATATTGGATCCCATCGCTATCAATCTGGCGACTGATGAGCCTCTCGGGGGCACGGGGCTATATTTCAAGGATTTCAGACTTCCTTCTCCGTACACTTCTCATTGTTCACAGTCCGGTTACCAACTTGAGATGCCAAGTAGCCAGTGTACAAGCTACATTTATACCACTATGAGCTAAATCATCGTCAGACGATAGCTGATGGGTTCCGAGATTGCATTTCGGCTTTTGCTCTCTAAACAGTCAGATTAGTGACTTGAGCTGTCCGTGGGGTCTTGTGACTTTGAAGAGGGCATAGCTCATTTTCAGTTCCCGGTCAGAAAATAGTCTCAATATAGTGTTCACTTAAATGGATATTGATTTGTGGAGGTAGGCTCTTCTTTCAGGTGGCTACAAAACGTTTTGCGTTATTTTAATTACTAAACTTTATTTTATAAAGTTCCCTATTTTATACGTCAAGCATTTTTTTTCATTTTCTGTGATTCACAAGGTTTTATTGTCTGAGCAATGATCACTAATTCCTCATCGCAGGACGTTCATTCCAACACTGGAGAAACTTGAATTTCCTGTGTGTCCCCCCCCCCCCCAGTTTCTGCTGGTGCTGCATTTCTTTTGTTGCTTGTTCCTAAAGATAGAAAGATTTAACATCTTAATTTTAACAAACAGGTCATATACTTAAAAATATTCAGTAGTCTTACTTATAAGAACATTTCTTTTTCGATGTGAAAACTCTTTATTGTTGTTTGATACTATTTTGTGTCCCGTTCCTCAGAGGCAGTTGGCGTTGGTTAACCAGCTGCAGGTAGAGCTGAAGAAGGAGCGAGCCGAGAGTCTGCTCATGGAGGCGCGACTCAGAGAGGAGATCTGCAGAGAGTTCTCCGAGATCTTCTCCGAGATGCAGATTGACTATAAGTGAGACTTTTAATATATATTTATATTCCTATATGATGTTACCAAGAATGTTTTGGGCACGATAATTAAGTCGTACAAATGTGTGTCTGTGTGTGCGTTTGTTTCAGTGACCGCCTGGCGAGGGAGAGCGAACTCTTAGAGGAGCGAGCAGAAAGGAGGATGGAGATCTTAAAGAGCCTCATGGCCAAAATGGCCAGCGCTGGACCCAGTCAAGATGCACAATCTAATATGGTAACACCATCTCCTCTCCTGGGATCCCACTTCATGTATTGTGTGTTTTGTTTGCTTATTGGTTGGGTGAATGTTACAAATTCTAAAACAGATTTTTGGTAACAACAATGTACTGATTAAAACGTGAATGAAAAGGCAATTATGTGGAGGCTGTATTTGATGCCTATCCTATTGTATCTTAGTGACAAGATTCTTATGCTACACTCACACTTCATACATCAAGTTCTCAGTAAGAAATAAAATAATGATTTTTCTTCGTTGTCAGAGCAAAGGTAATTTCAAGGTTTCTAACATTCCATACAAAGTCGGGCAAGTTATTTGGTCTCTTCTTGGCATCCAGTATGTATCACACAAGCAGAAATTTGTAAAGTATTTGCTTACTCAAGCAAGTATAATTTGAAGTATCTGGCTCCAGGATAGTGTTGGCATGTGTGTGGGCACCACAGCTGGATGTTATAATTGTGGAGATGTGCTCACTAATCTCCCTGACTGATTTGATGTTTCCTACCTCCCTCAGGACACATCTCTGGACTCCCACTCCTCTGAATTGGCAGGCATAAAGAATGCTGCTCATGCATGTCTGGGTTCAGTCCGAGCAGGTGCTCAGGAAGAAAGTGGAGAGGCTGGAGAGGAGCTGGAGAGGAAGATGTTGGAACAGAGTGAGCACCAGCCGAAAGTCCAAGGTCAGATACCTCAAAAATCTCAATGGTAAAACCTCGTATGAATCCATCAAGTGGAGGAGGAAAATACAAACTGTGCAGTCACATATGTCAATATAAAAGTTGTTTTATTGTTTACTGATGTAAATTCTGGTTGCCTTTTTAAAGTTTAAAGTTGTTTTATTGTTTACTGATGTAAATTCTGGTTGCCTTTTTAAAGTTTAAAGTTGTTTTATTGTTTACTGATGTAAATTCTGGTTGCCGTTTTAAAGCTTTTTTTTTTTGGTGTTATTTCCTAGGTGAATCCAGTGGATTAGAGGATGAAGAGAAAAGGAGGCTTCTCTCTCAGCTTCAGGAGAAGTCGTCAGAGATTGACCGGCTGGAGAAACAAGTGAGACACCTGCAGAATGTGGCAGAGCTAAGCTCTCAGAGCTGCGCCTTGCTGCTCGAGGAGGGGAGTTCACGTGAGAGACAGCGGCTGCAGGTAAGAACCCTGAGGATAGGAGCACACGGAGGGAGGACCAGGGGAGGAGCTCAATGCCCTGGCATCAGTATCCTGATCATTCTCAGTAGAACCAGTTTTTAGCGAAGGGCAAGCTGAGCATTATCCTTTACAGTATGTCAAGGGTTTACTCATATAGTTCACAAATAGGTTAGCATGTAGCATTTTGCTCAGTTACCAGGAATATGAATCGGAGATGCACTGACCAATCAGCTGCCAATCAAAACCCGGTTTTCAGCTGATCACTTGTGACCTTTTATATACAGTGGGTACGGAAAGTATTCAGACCCCTTTAAATTTTTCACTC